GTTGGTGATAACACATGGAAAATTCGATTTTCTTTATCAGAAAAATTTTCCGACCCCAAAATGCACTTATACATTCAGGTCATTCAAAAAAATATATTTTTCGGACTAGTGACGATGTGCGTTTTCATACATTGGATGGGCTTGTGTGGAAAAATCTGATAAAATCTTGAGTTTTCCTTAAAAGATTACGCCCTTATTTCAACTCTTTAGCCACTTGCAACATTAAAGCCTTTGGTTTTCAGAAACCTAGTTCTATTAATTAATCATATAGTGAAAACGGCTTGCGAGGAAATATGGGCAACAAATAGCCTTTAATTTTTGATGTGTTATTACCAGGAGCCACTCTAAAATTTACTTTCTTTCTACTTAAAATCGATGTACTTTTCAACCCTCTTCGAGGCTTGTATGCGAAAATGGGGCACCTAAGAAATAATTTTACATGAAATTGAGGAGAACCCCGAAACTAGCACGAGGAAAATCGCGGCAACATTTAATGTTTCACATGTACTTGTTTGGAAAATTCTCATCAAAAATTTATTATACCCATTTCACATTCAAAGAGTACAGGGATTACTCCCTAGATATTTCCTATTGTGCATTAATTTATGTCAGTGGTTTCCTCAAAACCTGCTCGAAAATCCGTTATTTGACAGGCACATTCTGTTTACCGATGAAGCTTAATTTTCTCGAAACTCAATAATAAATTTCCATAATAACCATTTATGGGCGGATGAAAACTTTTATGCAATTGTTGAATCAAATCATCAAGAACAGTTCTCATTAAATGTTTGGGCTGGCATTATTGATGATTATTTGATGGGCCCATTTTTTCACCCAAGAAGACTTGATGGACTTTCATATTTAGATATACTTCTGGAAGAAGATCTGCCGCCAATGCTTGAAAACCTTCGTCTTTTATTAAGAAACCAGATGTGGCCAATGCACCATGGTGCGCCTCCACATTTTAGGCTTACGTGTGCGTGAATTTTTAAATCACACCTATTGCAAACGGTGGATAGGTCGCGGAGGAACACAGTCATGACCGTCTAGATCTCCTGACCTTAATAGTGTAGACTACTTTTTCTGGAGGCATCTGAAAAGTTTAGTGTACGCAGTGCCGATTCAAACCGAAGAAGAGTTACGAAATCGTACAATACTATGCTGCCAAACCATAAGAAATACCTCAGAAATCTTTGAAAATGTGCGTCAGTCTATGCGAAGAAGTATAGATGCTTGCATACGTGTGGGTGGAGGACACTTCCAACAAGTACTGTAAATATTTTGGGTTCTTTATTGTTTGTATTCTCTTGTCATTTCGCTTTAGATTTAGATTTTGAATTTATCGTTTTACTAAAAGAATCTCAATTTATAAAATAGAATTTAAAAAAATCAGAGGCATACCGCTTTTTTCTATCCAAACATTCAATATCATGCCTACGTGGACGTCACTGGTGAAAGTAAAAAATACATACATACTAAAGTAAGTCTATGGACCAAATTTGCTCCAAAATAAATTTTAAATTTTAAAAATAATTTGTGTTTTTAGAAAAAGTAGTGGCGTACCATTTTTTTCTTCAAAAAATTATTCTCTAATTTCATAAAAAATTAATTGCTTGGCAATCCTGTAATGTTTTTTAAAAAAAATCTAGGATTGAATATTGTGTTTACCAAACCATTCTAAAAATGAAATAATATACAGGGTGTTCAATTTAAAAAAATGTACATATTTATTTATCAGGTAAAAATGCAACACCCTGTATATCCAAAAATATTTTTAAAATATATATTTTTCAAACCCATATAACTTTTATTTAAAATTTGTTTGTGTGCCTATAACAAAAATTGAAATATTAAACAATTACGCACTAATGGGATACCCTGTACATGGACACCTATTTTATTCTTATTGAAATATATTCCTAATTACTAGCTGGTCTAGCTATACAGGGTGAATCCTAAGTTGATTATTTTGTTAACTCTGTATAGGAGTCATTGAAATAAACAACTTTTTGAGAAAAACTCAAAAATAAAAACTTACATTAATTTATTTAAAAATGCATCCAATACGGTCTTCAATAAAAACCACTTCATCACAAACGCACTTCATGTCTTCCTGTATCGGCTTTTCTACATGTTCATCGCGATGTCCTCGCAAATCACCCGTATCCCTAGCCAGTTGAGTTAGATTAATGAAAGTTGTGAGACTAAGATGTTTTCTGGGACTAGTTGGGCTCGCAAGGTAAAACCCGAGAATACCGATGAAGGAGAAGCGACAGCTTGGTGTTTTCAGTGTAACGTTTTGTAATACGCATGTGCGAAAATAAGTTGTGTATCACTCAAAATGATATCTGTCAAAGTCAGTCCAAGTTGTGTTTAGTACGTGAGTTAAGTGATATATTTTGGTTTTTGTTTTGTATAGTAATAAGATGAAGATTTTTTACACACTTAGGTATTCTAATACAGATATAAAATGTGCCAAAAAAGTTATTAGACAACTAAGAATTTTATCACATGCATAAATATTAAGTATAATGATTTTGGACATTTTATTTTTCATATGTAGGTATTGGATTTTGTGAAATATATGTTTTTCTTCTTTTAAATAAATTTAATAAACAATGAACTGCAGATTTTGTTTATTTTACTTTGAAATTATATTTAAAAAAATATAATAAATCCGCACAGACAGCACACATAGTCCAATGGACGTCCACTTTAAAACCATTTGAGGGTCAGGACGTCCATATCCGGACATCCAGTGTTCGTCCGTTTATGCTAATTAATTTGACAGCTGAATATCGATACTCAAAGAACGTCTGTTTTTGGACTTAATTTAAAGTTTAGTAGTATTTTGACATCCAGTGGACGTCCATCTTAGGTCATTATTTATTAAACCTACCAGATAATACCCATCTATATGTACAGGGTGTTTCATAATATATGCGCAGGACTTCAGGACGTGATAGCTCGTCCAAAAATATGAAAAAACGTTTCTATTAACTTACCCTCTAAAATGCACCATTTTCGAGATACAGGGTGTTGAAATTGAAAAAAAAAAAAAAATTCTACGCCACTGGAAAAAGTACGGTTTTGAGACGCCCATTTGAATCGCCAATGTTTTCTACACAAAAAAGGTACTCCTGGTCATACGCTCTAAAGTCGACGTTTTTCTAGAAAAATCAAATTTTAATGATGTTTTGAAATTTAAAACCTACTTGATGAAACAAAATTTGATTTTTATCGAAAACGGTCGACTTTAGAGCGTATGACCAAGAGTACCTTTTTTGTGTAGAAAATATTGGCGGTTCAAATGGGCATCTCGAAACCGTACTTTTTCCAGTGGCGTAGAAATTTTTTTTTCAATTTCAACACCCTGTATCTCGAAAATGGTGCATTTTAGAGGGTAAGTTAATAGAAACGTTTTTTCATATTTTTGGACTAGCTATCACGTCCTGAAGTCCTGCGCATATATTATGAAACACCCTGTATACACTTCTTCTTTTTAATATAATTGCTCAATAAAAAATGACAAATTGAATCTATTGCATTTCATTCTATCAGCGGAAGTTTGAAATCGCATTCCATTATAACTATGTCTAGTAAAAAGTTTTCAAGTGCTCAGGTTAAGCAAACTTTAATTAAAAAAAAAAAAAATGATGTATAGCGGTTTGCGAAAATAATAAACAAATTATTAATAATATAAAATAGTGTGTGGTGATTTGCGGTTCTGTAAAAAAAGTGGGGATGTAGTCTCAATGGAAATATAATCCTGGACGTTTTTTAATGTCCAGTATTATTGGACGTCCAAATATATTCCAGAATTGGACGTCCTCTGAATGGTCAAAAGTGTGCTATTTGTATACTTCACTGGACGTCCATTGGATGTCGGAAGTCCAGAAAAAACTTATTTTTGGACGTCTAGACATCCAAAATTGTATATCGAATGGACGTCTAATGGACATATTTGTATTGTCTGGGTGATAGGCCAGGCCAGGTATTTAACTCTAAATACATAAACCACATCTGGCTTAGCTTTGCGAGAAAACACTTGTTTCTAGAGAAATGAGTAATAAACTTGAAAGTCCTTTTAATATAATATAAATCCAGAAATTCTAAAAATATGAAAGTACTTTTTAAACCTAAAAGCTTTGAAAATATATGCACATTGCAAATATTTAGTTAAACCTCTCAAACTTAATGTCTTTTTAATTGTTACCTAAATTTTTACTTAAGGAAAAGATAATATAATTTAAATAAGGGGCTTTTATTACATTTTTAACAATAAATAAACCCAATATTGAACAAATTTTATAGATAAATTATAAAATAATAAACGTTTTTTACTTTTATAACAAATAATTAATTATTACATAATGAATTATATTTCGATGCCGAAATTTCACCATTGCTATTAACCCTAACTACTTCAATGTAATTAAACTACATTACAACATTTGCGCATGGACTATAACAATGATTTCAAATAATTTGCCAAACTATTTCGCTCAGTGTAGAAATTATGCATGTTTTCTCAGCGTATTAAGTTGTGTATTAATCAAAGTCATGCTGTGAAAAAGGTCCTTCCGATATCAAAGGCACCGACAGCTACTGTCGCTTCTCCTTGATCGGTATTCTCGGGTAAAACTTTCACTATGCAACACCGAAGCAGCACTTTGAAGACACTTGCCATAAATAAACAACATAAAGTTGTTGTAATATAAACACGCTAATAAAATCACACACAAGACGGAATTACAATAACCGGTGAAGCGTCATTTATACTAAGAAACACCTAAAAAAGGTAAAACAGATAAAGGCATACTTCTCGTTTAACTTAGTTTTAGATAAACAAGTCCAGCCCCGGATTTATGTTTTTAAATTCTAATACATTCTTATTTTTCAGTTTTTTATAAAAAGTTGTTTATTTTAACGACTTTTACACATAGTTAAAAAAGTATGATTCGCCCTGTAGAAGGTAATTGTACTTAGTACCTACATACCATCTGCTTCATCCTTCTCCGGTAAGAAAACGCCGCTAGTTTGTATTGTTGGAAGCCTCGCCAATTTTTGTGCACTATCAGTACCTGCCAGAAGCCAGGCTAAGTATTGCATGTGCCTCAAGGCTATTCTAACCTTCGCCAATAAACTATATCTGGCTTTGATAGTGACATCGAATTCGCTTGCCCTTTCGATTTCGAATTTAATGTCGGCCCTGAGACTAACTTTTTCCGAATTGTATCTAAAAATTAAGTTTGCTGCGTTACGTTTGTGTTTTTCTAAGAACTTTCTCACATTCGTGATGACGTATGTAATGTGCCAAAGGGAAAACAAGGTTGAGTTTAATAATTTGGAAATTTGAAAATTCATACACAAATTTCCCCTATGAATCTAAGGAATCCATTTTCACAACCAGGTCCATTAAAATATTTTATTTGAGTAGTTATTGATATGCGAATCATTTTCGACCAATCCGGTCGTGCTATAATTCCTTAAGTCCCTCTTTGCCTTATTTGGACCGTCTACGTTACCAAAAATATTCGATAAAATAAGGCAACCTCCGAAACTCCTAAAAGACGCCCATGGTCGTCATATGTCTTAGAATATACTGGACCCGTCGATGAACATTGAAGAAACATCTAGAAACAATTCTGGTGGAGGTGCCGGTCGTAGAACCACAGGATAAAGAACAATACAGAAAAGAAACATAGGGCTAAAACAGGAACCTAGCAACCGAAGCCACACCTTCTTCATGGTGGAGCATTGTCAAAATTGAACCGTAGATTTGTTACTTGTTCGAAGTGCAACAGTGCACACTTTTATAGCAGATGAACGAAGCTGTCACTGCTGTCGCTGTTAGAAAATCAATATTTTTTTCCCTGTCGTGTCTTTATTTGTCGTTTTGGATTTTTGGTTATTTTTAGTGAATATCCTGATAAATTTTACGTTTTTTTAGTGGTTTATTTTTAGTTTTTGTTGATGTTTTTAATTGTGGAGTTGTTAATTTAAGACTTTATTGTACGTATTAAGATTAGGTTTATAAACAATGCCGCGTCAAAGAGGAGGAGGATATACTTGTATTTATCGTGGATGTACCTCGAGAACAGGTGGCAAAGAAGGATTGTTCACTCTTGTGAAAGATCCAGTGAGGTAGGTATGAAACCATGAGGGTGAAATAGAAATTGATTTTGCCATAACATGGTAGTACAATGATTGTATGTATTTTGAATTGTGGCTTAAGGCAGCAAATAGAGAGAACTTATTGGAAAAGGGTGTTGAACACTTAAGTAAAAATTTTAATAGTTAGGTTAGTAAAAAATATAAATTTTGTGACAATAAATGGATGTCTAAATGCATATCTAGTGGAAATTTAATAATTTAACAACATTCAATCTGCTGTATTAAAAAGTTGACTAGAGTGAAGTTTACCTCTTAGGTACAGAAATATATTCACATTTTATAAAATTATTTTAAATTTCATCTAGCAAAAAAGTGTGACTCAAACATTTAATTCTTACAAATGATGCACCTTCTTGACATTAGTTGATCTGATAAAAATTTGGTTTCTCTTTTTTAGAGGAATTTGTTGTTCATGGCGAAGAAGGCAAAGACAATTTGTGTCTACCCTCAACTTCAGCAGAAGTAGAATTTATTGAACAAGTGCATAGTCAATCATCTGTTTCTCTACCTTGTGTAACAGCACAAATTCAAACGAGTTATTTGTTATCATCAAATACTCCAAGAAAGCAGAGACTGCGACTGAAGATAGCAACGTTGAGAAAACGTTTGGTGCAAAAAGAAGAAAAATAATTACTCATTATTTAATATTTTTTATAAGTACCGTTTATATAAATATTCTATATTTTTATTGTATATTAGGATATAGCTATTTTAATAAAGCTACTTATCTTTGTATTATAAATTAGACTTGCTGTATAAATCTGTGTAAACGATTTTAATTATTTTAATTTTTAAACAATTCTATTTTAATAAAATACATGCACTAGATTGTAAACTTATCAATTGCATAAATACACGTTTTTTATTTTTCTTTTTTTTTATTTATAAAATCCCTAAAATATGCTTTAGCTAATGATTTTTTAACAATTTTCCCAATTGATTTATACTTATGGATCATAAATTACTAGTGAGATTTGTGGCACATTAATAGTTCATTGTGACAGGGTAAAATAAACTATTCTTTAAAACTTTATAATTTTTATTTTTGAAACCTCTGTCGAAAGTGCTACAAATCAAAAAATAATTTACTTAAATCGAGAATAGTTTCAAATGCATTCATGCAAATTTTCATAAAATATGACACATAATTATGTAAAAGAGAAATGTAGTTTTCGCAGTGTAGGTTCAGTGAATAGCTACGTTCGCGTGTACTGTGAATAACTACGTTTTCTCAGAGTATCTTACTTTATTTTCTGTATTGTTCTTTCTTCTGTGGTAGAACGTTTAGCATGTTCGAGAACAAGTCTGTATATAAATAGACTA